AAAATCTTTGAATGTTTGAAACAGTTCAATTATCAGGTTGGTTGTAAATTTTTGTGTATTGGGGGCTTTTTTTTTTTTTTTAAGACAGGGTCTCTCTGTGTCACTCTGGCTGTCTGGAATTTAGTAGATTGAGTGCTGGGATTAAATGCATGTGCCACCACCACCCAGCATGGATTATCTATTTTTAATTACTTATTTCTTGAGACAATGGCTCATTTTATAGTTGAGGCTTGCCTGAAGCCCTAGCTGGCCTCAAATTCAGATTCTCTTGTCTCAGCTTTCAGAATGCTGGGGAAAAAAAAAGCCGGGTGGTGGTGGCACACACCTTTAATCCCAGCACTTGGGAGGCAGAGGCAGGCGGATTTCTGAGTTCGAGGCCAGCCTGGTCTACAGAGTGAGTTCCAGGACAGCCAGGGCTACACAGAGAAACCCTGTCTCAAAATCTCAAAAAACCAAAAAAAAAAAAAAAAAAAAAGAAAGAATGCTGGAAATAGAGATGCAAGCCACTGTGTCTGGCTTATGTTTTTTAATACTTTAAATGACCAATGAAAGAAGATTATTTTCAGGTTTTTCTCTAGAACAAAGACATGCACAGTATTAAATCAGAAGCCTATGCATCAATAATTGTCTTAGGGGCTGCCACAGTGTGTGTGGTAAAGTGTCTGCCACATATAAGGCTCTGGGTTCCATCTTTATCACAGCACAAAAGGAAAGGCACAGAGAGAGTGGTGGAGAAAAACTTGTTTCAAAACCCCAGACCTGCTGGACAGTAGTGACACATAGGCCTTCAGTCCCTGCAGGGTCTGTTGTGTGTGCAAGGGCAGGAAGATCTCTGAGTTTGTGGCCAGCCTGGTCTACAGAGTTGCCAGTCACCACTACACATAGAAACCCTGACTCCAAAAACAGAAACATAAAACAAACAACAAACCCAAACAAAAATCCAGCCCAGTGTCATTAGGCTGGGGTTTTTTTTGTTTTGTTTTGTTTTGTTTTGTTTTGTTTTGTTTTGTTTTGTTTTTCGAGACAGGGTTTCTCTGTGTAGCCCTGGCTGTCCTGGAACTCACTCGGTAGACAAGGCTAGCCTCGAACTCTCGAACTCAGAAATCCTCCTGCCTCTGCCTCCCAAGTGCTGGGATTAAAGGTGTGTGCCACCACCACCCGGCTTTTTTTTTTTTTTAATTGCTTTGGTGTTTTACCTGTATGTATGTCTGTATGAGGTTGTCAGATTCCCTGGAACTGGAATTAATGGACAGTTGTGTGCTGCCATGTGGTTGCTGGGAATTGAACCAGGATCCTCTGGAAGAGTAGCCGGTGCTCTTAACTGCTGAGCCATCTCTCCAGCCCCTAGGCTGGTTGTTAATATGAGCTAGAAATAAATAGCACAAGGAACAGAGCCTAGCAGGCACAGTAACACACACATCTGTTCTCTCTGCTATTATGGAGCCTGGGTTTGGGAGGGGCTTGAGTTGAAGACTGGACAACAGTGTAACCCATCTTAAAACTAAAAAGCAACAACAACCACGGCAAAAACCAAACCAACCAGCATGAGCCAGCTGGTGGTGGCCTAAATGCCTTTCATCCCATCACTTGAGAGGCAGAGGCAGGTGGATCTCTGAGTTTGAAGCCAGCCTGGTCTACAGAGCTAGATCTAGGACAGCCAGGGCTTCTCAGAAAAACAAACAACAAAAAAGCAGATGACCCATTGTGAAAATGACTTTTTTCATAAAAGATAATTACTGCTACTTTTTTTTGTGTGTGCTGGGGATGAAACTCAGGGCTTTGTACCTGCCAGGCACTTGACCACTGAGCTATAAAGCTAGCCTGTCACTTTTTTTGAGAGTACTCACAGAATGTGCTTCCTGGTGTACCTGATGACCTTAGTTGCTTCTGTTTGGTGGAGTGCAGCTCCAGGGGTTCGACCTCATGGGCACCCTCTCCTCTATTGTAGTCAGTCCTGTGGGGATCGGGTGTTGGACTTCAAGTTTGTTGGGAAATAGTGATGTTAAGTGCGTGGGTGAGCACAGGCAAAGGGAAGTCAGTCAGTTACTATCAGTGATGTTGTTCCTCAGGCAGCATTTTCTCCAGTGACACACACTGCTGTGGAAAGGCTGACTGGATGGATCCTGCTGTCTGTGACCACCTTCCTTGCATTCACAGGTGGTTCTCTCCAGGAAATAATCCCTACACAGGAGCTCCTGACTGGCTGTATGCCGGCCATTACTTTGAGCGTAATTTCTCAGACTGCCCAGACATCTACTAAGTATGGCCTGTGAGCCCAGGAGGTGTCCTTGGAATCCTCAAATAGCATCTGAGCTTTATGGTGTTAGACACCAGCTTCTCCAGCCACAGTAATGGAGATGGCCTTGGATGTGATGGAGGACCTCCGTGAGCCTCTGCCCAGCGCTTCACTATCTTGCAGCCCATTCGTGAAGCTCCAGTTGGGTCTTCATATTCACTGGGGCTTCAGAACTCCACAATCCTCTCACAGGTGACAGAGTGCACAAGGCCAGCTGAGCTGGCAGAACACTCTGTTATAAAATGTAATGAAGGAAGAACCAGCAGGGCCTGTGTGCTTCACTCAAGGCTTCAAACCCAGACCCAAGAAGGAGGGGAACATGGATCTTGCAAGTATCCTGTGGCCAGGGTCCCATTCGTGGAAAGCTCCGTGGAATGAAGTGACAAGCCGTCAGATTCTGTATTTTCTACCAATCTTGAGTAAGGTAAAGATTACTTTAGAAAATATTTAAATTGAAACTACTTGAATGATCTGCTAAAGTGCAGCAAACACATAACCACCACTGTGTACTGTCCAAACAACGTGTCCTGTGCCAAGCCAGAGTGCAGGAACACTGTGACTTAGATGAGGACTCCCCAGGGCTGCTCCAGCCTCGAAGGCCCTGCCTCTAGCCACAGCACTCCATAGCTTCACTCTCACTGTGGATCACACCTGTTTCTAAGGTCATTTCTTCACTCACCTCACCTGTGTGCCCTCCCCACTCCCCCAAAGTCTTGTGTTTGGTTCCCCAGTGTGCATGTTTCAGTCCAGGCAAGTTACATTCGGTTGTGTACAATGGAAGGTCAGAAGCAAGGTCTACTTATCTGGTGTCATTAAAATTGTTTTAACACAAGTAGGTGTGTCCACCTCTGCATTCCTGTCACATGATGGACTGTATGTAAAAATGGTGACACCAAGGCTCACAGTGGAGCTCTTTGCATCAAAGATAATCTACTGTGTACACACAGCTGTGCATTTATACAGTGTGAGTCGTACCAGGCACTTGTAAATGAGAAGGTATGATCACTATGTTCAGGCTTCCAAACTGCCTCTGTCATTAAAACACTTTGAAAATCCAACATGAGTTGAAGGCTTGATTTTATAGCTGTGGAAACTCAAAACGGGTGTCTCTGTGGCAGCCAGGGACTAGCATCTCTGCTCTGTCTGCTTAGACCCTTAACAAACCTTCTGATGGCTCTGAGATATATCTGAAGGTCTATGGCTTTGTCATCTTTCCAAGAGGAGATTGTGAAGTGTCAGAGACATCAGGGTAGCCTGTGTGCATCTGAGGGGACACTTGCCTTCCAGACTATGGCACACTTAAATGACTGTTTCAGAAGGCCTTCAGGCCTCTCTCTAGTGCATCTGACTGCCTGAAATCACAAGCCAGTGGGTTTGTATCTCCATGTGATCTCCTAAGGCAGGACTCTGGGTATTTAGGGTTCATCACTATGTACACGGCCCCCACACCCAGTTTCTGTGTGCATTTGCCTAAACCTGAAATACAAGGGGAAAGGACAAAGGGCAGCTGTGTGCAGTGACTTAACAGTGAAGAGTCTCTCACTGCAGTCTTTGCCTGCGCCAACACATGAAGTTGCCACTCTGACTCCTCACGCTAGACTGTTCTAGAAAGCTTCCAAATGTTCTAGAAATGTTCCCGTGGAAGATACACACCACAAGACATCCCCCGTGTACAGTTGCATGTGAGCACAACCTTGCATGGGGCCTTGATGCTTACAGAGAAGTCCTGTCACTTGAGATATCCTCATGGGAGGAAAAGAGTACCAGGCTTTTCCAAATGTAACATTCTGGAGTCAGGTACGGTGATGCATGCCTATAACCCCAGCGTCTGAGTTGTAGAGGCAGGACAACCTTGGCTACAGAACGAGCTGGCTAGCCCCTGAGTGTATGAGAACAAGTCTCAAAAAACAAAAGAAAAAAGAACCGAGGGTCACCAGGATGGAAACCTCATCTCACTCAGCTCCCCTCATGTTTGTTTTTATTCTAATTGAGGTTAGAGTTGAGTCACGTGTCTACACGTCCAAGGAACTCCGATCAGTTAAGAGACTTCGAGGTGAGAAGGTACACATCTGTACTGTTTTATGTAAAATCTGTCTTTTTAAATGATTTAAGTTGCTGGTTTTATCTCATTACTCTGGTGCTTCTCTGAAGCCTGGTCACCAGTATCCACATCCTCCTGACAGGGCTTGGCTAGAGGTAGGCCTGGCCCTGATGTACATCATGAACCTGCCTCTCCAAAATCCAGTTCTTCAATCCTGCAGAATAAACACAGGAAATCCTTTGGTGAGAACTTGTAATGTTCTGGGAGCATAGTGCTCTAAGGAGGAACGATGACACCCACATCTGTGTATGACACCCACATCTATGCATGATGACACCCATATCCGTATACAACACCCACATCCGTGTACGATGACACCCACATACGTGTATGTTGGTGCTTTCAGTTTGAGTCTCAGCAGAACAACTCCCCCTGGTACTCACTAAAAGGTCACGCGCAGCTTAAACAGATCACAGCAGACTAGACGGTTCCACGAGGGGAGGTTTATTAAGAGAGTGGGAGAGCGGGAGGAGAGAGAGAAGAGTAGAGAGGGTAGAGGCTGGCCATGACCACGTGGAGAGAGGGGGAAGGGAAGGGAGGGAGGGGAAGAGAAGCTAGAGGCAAGAGAGTAAGAGAGAAAGGAGGAGGCAAGCAGCCCCTTTTATACTGGGCACACCTACCTGGCTGTTGCCAGGTAACTGTGGGGAGGAGCATATCTGGGTGTTGCCAGATAACTGTGGAGGTGGAGTTTAGACAGGATACTAACACAGCTTTCAGGCTGCCCAGAGCTTACAGTGATTATTATGTCTGTCAAAGGGTCAGTGTCACGCTTCAAAGTCTGGTACAGGCTCCTAGGAGGATGTCACACAGCACCAATGGCCCTAGGGTCTTCCAAGGTTGAACTAGCCTGCAGAGTCATACTCATGCATAGAGGATATGTCCTGGATTTCCTATGTCCTCATAGTTGAAGCCTAGAAAATCAGAAGAAAAACTTGGGAACCTCTTCTGTCCCTGTTAGTGACCCAGCCCTGCAGGCAGCCCCTTGAAGGAAGGTTCCTGCCAGACTCTTCTTCTACAGAAAATTCTCCCTCTAAAAGGGAGTTACAAGTTTTATGCCTTCTTACCATCTCAATAGACTAAATGTGGAGATAACTCTCAAAGTAGTGGGCATCTGGCATCCCAGGTCCCTGGAGTGTGAGGCGGGGTGTGTAAATACAAGGCATTCCTGAGCTGGCCAACTAGTTAGATTCTAGGCTCACGGCAAGGGGGACTGTCCTGCCTCACATTCCTGGACCTGGAGAAGTTGCATAGGAAGTCTTCAGAGCCATGGCTTCCTCCTGTCCCAGCCTGTAGACTTCCCTATGTCTAATATAAGTACCAAACATAGGGACCTGCACCTGTTAAAACAGCTGACCTTGCCAGGCAGCGGTGGCACACACATTTAATCCCAGCACTTGAGAGGTGGATCTCTGCCTGGTCTACAGCGTGAGTTCCAGCCAAGGCTTCAGATAACCTCCTTCTCAAAACAAAACCCCCAACCCCACAACAGCAAAGCCAGCTAACCTCAGAAGAACTGGTATCTCTTTGGTTCCTCACTGGCCTCCATGTGCTTGGTATGAGATTTTCCTGGAGGTGTGCTTTGTGGGGGTCATCCTTTTCTAGGTTGCTCTCAGATCCAGCTGCTCTCACCAGATGTTGAGGAAAGCACATCTACAGAGGACGATGACACTTCCATCCATTCTGCCCTGTTCCCTAACCTCAGGTTGTCTTACAGCTGCATTCTTCCTCATGCCTATGAGTGGCTGGTCCTTTAACAACACCCATCCACCCACACATGGAAATGTCAGGCAAGAAAATGCACAATGTTTATTTTTGTGACTGTCAATACCATTTATTTAGCAGAATCGATCGTTTCTGGGTTTTGGTTTTGAGGATTGTGCACAGACCTGTGAGAATATAAATGTTAACTTTCAGGCCCGAGTAGAGATTCTTTGGAAATGGCTTGTGGTTGACATTTATTTTACATTGGATAATTTTTTACCATCTCAGGGCTCTGACTTTTCTGGAAAGAGCTACAGGCAAGTTCTCGTACCCTGCTGGAGTAGATGTTTGGACTGGGTGTTCTATAGAGCTGCCCCACCAAATGGGTTATATCTTAAAATAGCTTGGCTTAGTAAGGAGAGGACTCAGGTGGTGTGTCAGGATGGATGGTTCAGACCTTTTGAGTTGTTGTGGCTCTACTTACCCTCTCTCCTGCGGACTAGAGATTGCTGCTAGAAGCCATAGAACAGCTGGGCTAGGGGTAGCCTGACTGCTTTGGAAGGAGCCCACAAGTCTATCCAGCATCATGGCTCTGTGGATAGAGGGATAGATGGTCTTCCAGAATTCATGTGCTTGCAATGCTCCAGCTGTGCAGGGCAGGTGGCATCGTTGGCACAGGTGCTCAGCCACAGCATATGACTGTTAGGACACATCTTGCCCCCTCTCTCCAGTCTGATCCCAAGGAGCAAGCACCAGAAGGTGGAGCTGCCCAGGGCTCATACCTGCGGGGTCTCTTGTTGAAAGGTGTAACCTGTGCATTCCAACACGTTCATACTGTCGCATGGCCACTTGCTGCCAAAGCCCGCTGGAGAAACCATACAGGTGCCTTACAGACAGGCTCCCCAGCCCTGACCACCCCCACCTGGCTCTGTCCCCAATATTCTGCCCTCCATTTTGGTCTGGCTGTTTTCGTTTGTTTTTTTTTTTTTAATTTTATTTATTTTCTATATATGATGAGTACACTTTAGCTGTCTTCAAACACACCAGAAGAGGATATCAGATCCTCTTACAGATAGATGGTTGTGAACCACCATGTGGTTGCTGGGAATTGAACTCAGGACTTTTGGAAGAGCAGTCAGTGCTCTTAACCGCTCAGCCATCTCTCCAGCCCCGGCTGTTTTCGTTTTTAATAGTTTATTTGAAAGTCACTGTGGGCATGTGTGAGCATGTGTGAGCCTGGGTTTGTTTGGGTTTTTTTTTGTTTTTGTTTTTCTGTTAGTAAGCACTGAGGTGTCACCTCTTGTCCATTTACCAAGCTGCTTCAAATTTGGGGCAATTGTGAAGAAAATCCCTAGATATTTGTACACAGGTTTTTCTGTGGACATCTCTTTCTCTCTACTTCACTTTGTATACAGAGAGCAGAGTTCAGCCTTGCATGTCATTCTCATGAGCCATCCACCTTGTTTTCTGAGACAGTCTCTCTCTGGGACCTGAAGTACACGATTAGGCTGGACTGGCTGATGATCAGTGAACTGCAGAATTCCCTTCCCAGTACTAGGTCTGCAAGCACATGCTCTTTTGTGTCCTTTTTATGTGGGTGTTGGAGCTCAAACTCAGATCTTTGTGGCAAGCACTTAAACAATTAAGCTATCTCCCCAGACCCTCTTTGTTTTTTTGAGGTCCCATCTCATACAGCTTGAAACAGTTGCCCTCCGATTCCTCAGTGCTGCCACTACACATGTGAATCTCTACACCTCGCCTGTGTGTCAGCTTGCATCTTTCTTAGCTAAATGACTAAGAAATACTAGCTGAACCACATGGTAGTATGCTTACCTTCATTAAAAACAAAAGCATCGCCACCTCATCAAAGAGGAACCACAGCTGACAAGTAAAGCTAGGGAGTGCTCAGGTCCCCATAGCGCGTTAAGAAACTGCAGCCTGGAACATGGATGCACCACAGACCCTGTCGACACATGAAGGTTGACACAGAGCAGCAGGACAGTCAGCGCTTCTGGGGCATGCAGAGGCAGGTGGCAGGGACTTAGAAAACTAAACGCACCTCTTTCTTGTCTCTGAGTTCAAGGCCAGCCTGGTGAGTTCCAGGACAGCCAGGGCTACACGGACCCTGTCTATTAAAAAAAAGGAAAATTAGCCATGCCGTGCCCATGGTGGTACACACCTGCTGCCCCAGCTTGGAGGGGAAGGCAGGACATAGTGAGACCTTGTCTCCAAAACCAAAACCCAACCAGATGCAGTCCTACCACAAAGCTGACAACTAGGCTTTCATATTTACCTACACAGATCTGCACACAGATATATAGTAGCTGTATCCATACAGACCTGTACACAGACAGGTTTATGGTAGCTGTATCCGTACAGACCTGTACACAGACAGGTTTATGGTAGCTGTATCCATACAGACCTGAACATGGAGGTTTACAGTAGCTGGTTTACATTCGTAATGACAAGTACTTGTAAGAAACCAAGAACAACTTCAGCAGGTGAGTGAACATAGATGTATCCAGACCGTGGAATATCAGTGTTAGAAAGGAGATTTCAAGCCATCAAAGGACCTGGAAGAACCAGAGACAGCTCAGCGGGTAAAAGCACTCGCCTCTCATGCCCAGGATTCACATGGCAGAGGAAGAGACTTAACTCCTGAACTTCTGGACATTGTGCTCTGACTTCCACACATAGGCCTGGGCACAATCCCACAATTAAAGGGTGGGAAGCTGGAGAGATGGCTCAGAAGACAATGATTTGATTCCTAGCACCTCCCAAGAACCAATAACTCTTAATTCCAGGGGATCTGACACCCTCTTCTGTTTGCTGCAGGGACCAGACTCACACATGGCATGCCTACACACTAAAAATCTTTTTTTTTAAGTCAGAAAAAAAAAAGGCATGGGGAAACTTAATTGTCATTATTGAGAGAAGTTGCCTTGCATAGGCCACGGTGCACTAGTACAACCTGATGTTTTGGGGTAAAATGTGCAAGAAGGGTCTGGGGTACACGTGACTGTGATCTGTGGCGCTGTTCCAGGGGCTATTTGTCAGTATGAGGAGGGAACATGCCGGGCAGAGTAGTCTAAGTGTGGTATACTTACTCCCCAGAGGCCTTCAGGAAGCTCATGTAGGAAGATGAAGATTTGGAGGCCATTCTGGGATATGTAGTGAGACTGTCTCAAACAATATATGTGAACTGTACAGTGTTGTTATGGTTTAACTGTGCCCACATACAACTCAGAACTTTGTGATGACGTTGTGAGGCAGGACCCGTCAGAGGTGAGGAGGCCTCGAGGGCACCTCCCTCGTGCACAGGACTAAGGACTTATGAAAGGAGGTGTCCTGCCATCTTCCCCTGCTTGCCTGGGATCTTTCACTATGTCCTGCCATCTTCCCCTGCTTGCCTGGGATCTTTCACTATGTCCTGCCATCTTCCCCTGCTTGCCTGGGATCTTTCACTATGTCCTGCCATCTTCCCCTGCTTGCCTGGGATCTTTCACTATGTCCTGCCATCTTCCCGTTTGTCCCCACTGAGACACAGCCCTACTAGACACTGAAACTGCCCTGCTTTGACCTTGGTTTTCTGCTGGAAACTGAGAAGTGTTCATTTAGAGGGACAGAGTAGCACCTGCTGAATGAGCCCCATGTACACCACGGACTTTCTAAGATCATGAACTTTGGGAGAAACTTTACTGGTTCTAATAGACCCACCTGGAAGGTGCAGCCTGGGAGGCGGGGGGCTGGGAGGGCAGGAGAATGTGAACTGTCTGTACTTTCTGCTCAGTTCTCTTGTGAACCTAAAATTATTCTGAAGAATTAAGTCTATTAATAAGACAAATGGAGGAAAAGCCATACCTGCTGAAGTCAGCTCCCCATTGGCTAAGCCGGTTTGCATTTCTAGTCTTGAAGACCCCCAGCCCTTGGTGCCGTCTCTGCTTTTTCTATGGACCTGTTCTCAAAGGTGAATTGCCATCTGTATTCCTTGTAAATAAATGATCGTCTTTTCAGACGCCTTTGCCCTCTGGAAAAACTCGTTCTTCCTCCCCAGGTAAAAGTGCATAGCCATGCCAGTGCGCTGAGCTGTGGTACTCACGGCTGAGACAGCATTCTCTCCCACCATTAAAGGCTCATGGGTTTCAGGGTTTGTTTTGTGCAGTGGGGCTTTTGTTGTTTTTCTTTAGAAGTGCTGGGTCACTCAGCCACTGAGTCACATCTCCAGCCTAGGGCTTGCTCTTTTCCACATGACTGCTAGAATTGACTTCTTTTGTGGAAAATGAAGATTACACAGAAACCATCCACAGTGTAGTCCACACAGGTCAGGGACCACGGTAGCCGCTGCAGCCTACCAGTGTTTCCCTCCATCTCCTCTGGGACCTTCACATGGGTTCCACTATAGGCTTGCTCATTCCAAGGATCATATTTGTGAACTGCAGTAACTGTGGGGACCAGCATCTTTTCCCTCTCAGTGCCTCAAATGGAGTGGCCACAAACACAGCCTCCTCAGCATCCAGCCAGGATAGTGTGGTTTCCACTACAGAATGCTTCTGGAAGGGATGGCAGACACCATTCCAACTGGGTCTGCATGCAGAACTGCACGCTTTCCTGCTTCAGGAGAAGATACTGGATCCAAGGCCCTCAACAGTCATGACCCAGAAGAAGCCCAAATCTGGTTTTGAAATGTGGGTTCCTTGTGACTTCCAGTGGCAGCTTTGACAAGGCTTTGAACAAGTGACATTTGTTTGGGGCCACTTGCCTGGAAGCCAGGTTAGATTTTCTTCTATTTCCCTTTGGCTGTCATGGCCCACTGGGATGTAGTATCAGCTCCTGATACTAGGCTCACCAAGCCAGTGTTGACCAAACTCCACTGTTGCCCTCTGGAATCTAAGATTCTTAGAAATGATGAGGGCTGCCTTACGGGTGGATGGTGGTATGGTACAGCACCACACAGAAAAAAAAGAATTGTCAGCTCCAAAGAGGTTTTGTTTATGTGGGCTTTAAACAGCCTGAGCTGCTCTTCCAGAGGACCCAGGAAGGTTCCCAGCACCCACATAGTGGCTAACTTCTTTTCTTTTCTTTTCTTTTCTTTTCTTTTCTTTTCTTTTCTTTTCTTTTCTTTTCTTTTCTTTTCTTTTCTTTCCTTCCTTCCTTCCTTCCTTCCTTCTTTTCTTTCTTTCTTTCTTTCTTTCTTTCTTTCTTTCTTTCTTTTTTTTTTTCGGTTTTTCAAGACAGGGTTTCTCTTATAGCCCTGGCTGTCCTGGAACTCACTCTGTAGACCAGGTTGGCCTCGAACTCAGAAATCTGCCTGCCTCTGCTTCCCAAGTGCTGGGATTAAAGGCATGTGCCACCACTGCCCGGCTGTAACTCCAGTTCTTAAGGATCCCAGATAACCTGCTTCTGGGCTTTGCAGGCACCCAGTACATGAATTGTTTACGCATACACTCAGGTAAAAACACCCAGACACATAAGATGAGAATCAATTACAAAATCGAGCTGGAAATGGGACTCTGTAGTGAAGCACTTAGCCAAGAATGCATAGGCCCTGGGTTGGTACCTACCATAGCAACAAACATTTATGAACATAACATTTTAGTGAAATGACAGCTCTATTTTCCAAGCTGCCCCCAAATCAAAATGATTTAAAATATTTTATGTGTGTTTTGCCTGCATGCATGTCTATATCATGTGTGTGTGCCTGGTGTCCACAGGCCAGAAGAAGGCATCCAACCTCATGGAACTGGAGTTACAGACAGTTGTGAGCTGCCATGTGGGTGCTGGAAGTCAGACCCCGGGGGCCTCTGAAAGAGCTGCTAGTGCTTTTAACCACGGAAGCATTTCTCCAGGTCCCAATTAAATCTTTTACATTGGTCTTGAACACTTGGCAGTTCTCTTGCCTCAGCCTTTTGAGGGTTGGGATTATCACACCTAACTAAATTCAAAGGTTTTTGTAGTAAAGCTGGAAACTGGGCCAGTGAGATGACTCAACAGGTAAAATTGCTTGCCAGGCGAGTCTGGCAACCTAAGTTTGATCACAGGAACCCATAGTGGAAAGAACCAAGTTACTAAATGTTAGGCTTAGACCACCACATGGGACACACACACACACACACACACACACACTTTAAAAAAAAAGGAAACTACATAGGATAGAGCCCAGCAAAAAGATGACAGATGCAAGCATGTAGAACTTACTTCATCAGAATTCCAGACAGGAATTAAAATGAGTGATAACTGTGGTAACATAAATGCATCTTAGAGGAGGTCTCCCTCCACCTCACTCTAGCCTGGAACAGCGTCAAACGGTAGTAAGTGAAAAAACTACTTTTCACCTTTGTTTCAGAAAAAGGCCACACACGAGTTCACACATACACAGATGGTAAATTGTGGAGCATGCCAGGGGAAGCTAGAGATTCAGTACTGCTTAGCCCTGGAGAGGGGTGGAGGATGGGCCTAGGGCCTAAAGCTGTCATAGAGGAAGCAAAGAAATGGAAATGGTGTGTAAAACAATCTGTGAGGACTCTTGGGCTTTACATTCTGCAAGCAGCTCTGCCCTAAAGTAAGGTGGCAGCATTCCACCTGGCTAGCTACAAGCGGCCCACAGACCCCATCCTTGGTGCTTTGTGAACTCTTCTTAAAGCGTTGAGCGACCCCATGCTACTTTCTCCACCTCCCCCAGGCCCCCAGCCCCCGTCCCCTCTTGTACTTTGCTACAGTGTATGTCAAATTAGCACAAAGTGACAGGAAGCTGACACTTCAAGAGACTACCTCCTACCTTTTAAACCATGTGACTGTGTCTTTAGGCCCTGACATCTCGCTCACCCAATAATGCAAATCAGACAGACTGTCTCCCTGCGGTGTGGAGAGATGGGTCCATTCAGATGGGTGGATAATGCAGCGGACACACGTCCCTGAGTGCGTGTCCCAGCTCAGCCCCACGGGCACGTTTGTGTACGGCTGGGTGCCCACCACCCTCGACTCGACCTCTGCAGCGCCGCCCCGCGGGGACCCTTCTGTGTGTCGAGGAGGTCGGGGCGCTGTTCCCGACACCGCCGCCAGGGGCCGCCGCCGCTCCCCTATGACACAGCAACAATAGGGGCCTCTC